ACCAGATCTGGGACTCGAACCATGGTCAGCCATGTAGGAGTGTCCAGCACCCTTAACCACCACACCCCCTGCGGTCCCTGTTTAAAATATTTTCTACCATGCATTATGGGAGATGAACCAAAGCCTTAGAAATCCAATGGGACCTCATACAAGTATTACCTATAGTGGGAGCCCTCCCCACCCCACCCCAGATTTTTGCCGTAGGGTGGATGTGCTCACAGAAAACAGAAAGGAAGGTGATTTTCCACAATCTCTTTTGCTCTATTCTCCTCTTGGGATTTTGCGTACAAATACACACATGCCCAGAATGATTTTCAGGCCACCAGGTCTGGGACTCAAAGCCCAGTCAGCCATATGGAATGCAGCACTTTAGCCACCACACCACGAACTAGCCCAGCAGGAGTTCAGAACGTTTACGTGTGCGCACGCATGTGAGTTCGGTCTGGTGACGCCTCTGCCTGGCTTCCAGACTCCCCGAGGAGAACGAGCACCCGGCATAAACCAGGCTGCCCGGCAGCTTAGACAAAGCGAGTCCCTTACCAGGGAACACTGACACTTGCCCCTGCCCCAAAGCCAGCCAAGGGTCAACTCAGAACCGTGACCTCAAGCAGGCTAGTCTCAGAACTATGCCTTTTCTGCAGTCCCCCCTCTGCCTTTGGCCACGACGTTCCACAGCAAGACTATTCTCAGTAGGACCATGGCCTACTCCTGGCCCTGAGCTCAGTTCCGCCCTTCAGAGAGTCTGGATTTAGCCAGTGAACAGAAATCCCCTTCATCATAAAGGCTTATCTTAAAAGGGGCGATGGGTCTTCCCATCAGTTTCAACATTAGCCTTTTCTTTTCTTCTTCTTCCTTTCTCTTCTTGTAATTTGCCCAAGGCCGTGAGCGCTCACCAGAAAAAGGGGGAGAGAGGGAACTGGAGAAAGGAGCCCCCACAGGGGATGGGCACCCCGCAATCCCTTCTCCTCCATTCTCCCCTTGGGATTCTGTGCTCACACGCATCTGTGCCCTGCGTATTGAATTTCGAGTCGCAGCGTCTGGGACTCAAACCATCACATGGTTGGCCACGTGAGATCTAGTGCTTTAACCACCAGGCCACCTGGCCCAGTATCAGCCTCAAAAAACAAACTGGGGCGGCCCGGTGGCCTGGTGGTTGTGGCGCTGGACTCCACTTGGTCAAACGTGGCTCAAGTCTTGGACTGGTAGTTTAAAAATCGCACTGGACATGTGCCCGCATGCCCAAATTCTCAGGAGCGGAGGGACTGCAGCATGGCCATCCCCCCGGGGAGCGATTTCTCACTTTCTCTTTCACTGTCTCTGCCTCTCTCCCATGAGCACATGCGCCATAAGGCAAAGACCTAAAAGAAAATATCGGGGGTGGGACAGCGGCACAGCTGAAAAACGTGACTGTTCCACGAGGCTGACCTGCACGAGAAGGTTCCAGCTCACGTCTGGATACCTCCCTGAGGACACCTGGTGTGTGTGGCCCCTGCTCTGGGGCTGGCTGGGCTGGGGAGGGAACAGATCGCACATGAGAATCCTGTTGCAGGTGCCTGTCTCTCTGTCTCTGTGTGTCTCTCTCATGGAAGAAATACATTAATACAATTTTTATATAAAAAATAGAGCTTGGGGCTAGCAGGCAGCATGGTGGTTAAGGCACTGGACCCCACACGGTCATGGTTGACCACAGTTTGAGTTCCAGACTCAGAGGGTTGAACATCATGCCCAGTGTGTGTGTGTGCATGCGTGTGTGTGCGTGTGTGTGTGCAGGCCCAATATTTTGAGAGAATGGAGGAGAAGAGATTGTGGTGTGGCCATCCTCCCTGGGGGGGGGTGATTTCTCACTTTCTCTCTCATTGTCTGTCTCTCTCAGCAAGCACACATCCCCTAGGGCAAATAAAAAAAAAAAAAAGCTAAACAAACAAACAAAGAAACAGCTGATACAGAATAGTGGAAAGTAGGGGTCAGGAGGGGTGGGGAGGGGAAGCAGAGAGGCACAGTTAGAGCTGTCATAGATAAGAGGACCGAGGCACAGGAGGGTGACAGCAGTCAACAATATTTTAGTGCATATCTCAGACCAGCTGAAGGAAAGGCGTCGGACTGCTCTCAACACAAAGGAGTGTTCGAGGTGATGGGAATATGTGCACGCTGATTTGATCATTGCACGTTGTATTATTTTTCCCTTTTTAAAAAAATGTTGCTTAGAAGTTACGTGCACTCACCAGAGAGACAGAAAAGGGGGGAGAGAGGAAGTACCCCCCAGGGGGCATGGTCACACTGCAAACTCCACCCTGTTGGAATTTCAGACACAGAAACACACATGCACATGCCCAGTGTGTCCTTGAAACCTCTGGGGCCGGGACTCGAACCATGGTCAGCCATGTGGGATCCAACTTCCCCATCTGCTAGGCCACAGAGTTGACCCAGGGACGATATTCCTCGTGCCTCTTCATCCTTTCTTTCCCAAACAACACTTTTGCCAGATTTCAGTGAGTCAGGGGCTCAGTCTAGCAAATCCCACTGTGTTGGGATCCTCCAGGCGCCCCCATCGATTTGGACTCCCAGGACTCAGCACAGCTACGATTCGTTCCAGGGAGGGGCATGAGGCTGGGTCCGCAAAGGCAGAGGCCTGGTGGTGGGGCCCGGAGGAAACCAGGCATGAGCGCCCACATCCTCCCCGGGAAGGGTGGGGCACGCAGATGGGCTTCACCCTCCAGCACCGAGTCTGGAAATGCTGCCCATCAGGAAGCTTGGCTGAGCGCAGGAGCCCAGGGCTTTACTGGGGGCCAGCCATGTAGACATATCTAGCTCAGCCTAAAATCCCAGACACCAGGAAAGCAGAAAGGCTGTTTGTATAGACGGTCCAGGCACAGGCTCTGCTGCTGTTACTCCCGCTATGGGTAAACCTCTCCAAAATCCAGGTTCCCAGACACCAGCCAAAGCCCAGCCCGCAAGCAGGCCTTTCTGAGAAGGGCCGCTCAGGAAGGCTCAGGGCATCACGCACCTCTGCGCTGCCAGCTCTTCCCTGCACGCCAGGGCGCAGTCGCCGAGGGCTCTCATGGGCCCATCTGACCTGTGGGCTCCTTGAGCAAGGCTTCTGGGACCCAGCTCCTGGCGCAGGCCGGGCACAGAGCCTAGAGGGCCAAACCCGGCCATGGCCAACCTGTCCTCCTGCTGAGCCAGGCCTGAGCAAGGCACGCTGCAGGCTCTCCTCCCGTCCCTGCCCACAGACGGCTGGGGCACCTAGGGCTGGTTCCAGAACGTGAGAGGGACACTCACCCCTTTGCCCAGGCGACCCTGCACCCTGCCAGCCCTGGGAGCCCCGAGGGCTGACTCACTTCTTCAATTCAGCAAACATTAGCTTTGTGCCTAGGACGGGAGCCAGCCCAGGCTCCAGGAGTGGGGGTTTGAGTTGGTGGCGGTAAACAAAGGGACAAGATGTTCCTGCTGGCCTGGGGCAGGGGCTTTGCTGTGCCTTCTCCCCCAAGTAGATCCTCCTGGGCCTGTGACTCCGCTCTGGAGGTGACAGCAGGGGGCAGGCTGGGGATGCAGAACACGGAGGAGGGACCACCTTGCCAGTCCCCAGAACTGCCCAGAAAACAGAAGGGAAACCATGCGTGGCCCGTGGGGTGAGAGCCTTCGGAATTACACAGGATGAAGAATGGCCCCCTGGCCTCCTAGCTCCACGACCTCAGGGCCGTGTACTCACCCGGTGGGCCTCGGTCGGCCTGTCCGTCTGGGAAGGTATTACTGTTTCCCATTTGCACAGAGAGCAAGCCAGCCATATATATATTTTTATTTGTCAGAGGGCACGTGCATGCCAGGGAGACAGAGACAGAGTGGGAAAATGAGGAAGCACCCCCGTGAGGCACGGTCGTGCCACAACCCCATTCCCTCCATTCCACCCTCCTTTCGGGACTTTGGGCACACATGCACATGCCTGGCATGGTTCTCTAGCCATGGGTCCAGGATTCAACTCACGCGTGGCAGTCAGCCCCGTGGGATCCTGCCGCCCTAACCACCACAAACGGGCTGGCCCCAGCGCAGCAATTTAAAGCGTTGGCTCTGGAATTAGAATTACTTGGTTTGTTGTCCAATTCTAATCTGTCCCTTGCTAATGTGCGGCCTGGGGACATTTTCCAACTGTCCTGTGTCCCCAACTCCAGCCCTGCTTGCTGGCCAGAGTTTCCACAGTCAACACAATAGAATGAGTTTCTGGGGACCAGCGTGCAGCCAGAGCCTGGGGCCTGTCCCAGAGCCCTCAGGCAAATGCCGCTGCCAACCAGCAGTCACCACGCAATCTCCCAGGATGGCAAGGCTTGAAGACCTAGTTGTAGGGGTGCTGGGAAGAGCCCCAGAGCCATCAGCTGTGCTTGGGGGATGCCGTGAGCCTAAGGCAGGCGCGGGGCTGTAACGAACGCCCTCTAACTGTCAGGCTCCCCATTTTCCACCAGCCCCACCCCAAGACCCCAATACATCACGCCTCACAACCGAAAAGCACCGAGGCCGTCTGGTGCATCTGGTCCTGCTCCAAAGACTTGGGCTCAATCACGTAATCCCACACCTCCCATTTTACAGCTGGGGGAATGAGGCTGAGGGTCTTGGTTACCTTCCCCAGCCACATGGTATGTAGCAGAGCCAGGACACAAACCCTGACCTGCGTAACCACTCTGGAAACTAAAAGCGCCCCCCCAAGCCCCCCGGGCGGTTCTGGGGGACCCGCCACTGAACCCAGTTGTCCTTGGCTTCTGACTTTTGGATTCTGGACGGTGCTGATCATAATCCCAGCCTGGGGTCCTGGAAAGAGGGGCCCTTGGCTGCTGGCCCTGGTTCTGCCCCCCTCTGGCTAGTGGGCCAGGGCAAGTCACGCCCCCTCCGGTCTGGCAGCTGGGCGGCGGCAGGGCCCTGTCCAATGAGGCCCTGGCTGATCAGAGGCTCCAGGGCTGGGCTCAGCTCCCACCCTCAGGAGGGCCTGGAGCCTAGGGGTGGGGCCTGCTCGGGGTTAAAATCCCTGTCCAGCGCTCCCCAGGCCTCTGCCAGCCTCCCCAGACCTCTTGTCCCGTCTTCCCAACAAGAAGCTCGACAAGACAACCATGGTAAGGGCCCACATGGGACCGGGGCAGTCTCTCCCGGGTGACAACCTGCAGAGAGACTTCCAGGAGCCCCTTGTGCCGCAGCCCCCAAGCCTCACTCTCCTTTTCTTTCTCCTTAGACGACTTACAGTGATAAAGGAGCAAAGGTGAGCAGGGGAGGGTCTGGGTTGTGCGTGGGGGTGAGGGTGCAAGGACACGAGGTGTCCACTGGTATGTGCTGTCTATACTTGAACACTCCGAGTTATCCCCTGGCTCTCCCAGGCTGAGCTGGATTCAAGCTTAGCCTCCGAAAAAAATTTTAAAAATAAAAAGTTTGCCTCCTCGTAAATACCTGTCAATCTCGGGGCCCAGCAGGTGACATGGGGGTTTATGGCACTGGACTCCCCACATGGCCAACCACAGTTTGTGTCCTGGAGCTGGTGGCTTGCTTTCTCACTTTCTCTCTCTCTCTCTGTCCCTTTCCAGTCACATTAAAATAAATGAATAAATACTTTAAAAACATTTTAAACCCTGTCAATCTCTCAGTCCCACCAGGAAGTTCTTTCTGAAGTCTGAGGGACCAGTGGATGGCATGCTGGTTATGTCACTGGACTCACACGCAGTCAATCGTGGTTCAAGTCCCCGACCTGGGGGCTTAAAAAACTCATGCCAGGCGTGTGTGCGTGAATGCCTAAGATCCCAAGAGGAGGATGGAGAAGGGATTGCTGGGGCCCATCTTCCTTGGGGAGTGCTTTCTTGCTCTCTGCCTCTCCAGCGAGCACACATATCCTATAGCCAAAAAAAAAGGCTAAGAGAAATCCTTGCTGCAGCAGAAGCCGTTTCCCTCTGTGACGCCTGGACTGGCCCCAGGAGTGCAATGCCCACAAGCGAAACCGCTTTCGAGGCTTGGCAAGGCTGCGTGGGGTTTGGCCTCTCCCACGTTCCAGGGTTGAGGCTGGGATGAGGAGGGTGGCTCGGGGACACTTCACCCGCATGTTCTGAACCCATTTCAGAGACTCGACCTTCTCTCCTGCAGCCCCAGAGAGGCCGGTTCCTCCACTTTCACTCCGTGACTTTCTGGGTCGGCAACGCCAAGCAGGTAAAAGCCGGGGAAAGTTGTCAGGGTGGACAGAGGACGGCTGGACTGTCCAGGAGGCAAAGGGCCCTCCTGGACAAGGGTCGGCCTCCAGCACGTCTATGATTGGTCCTGACGAGGGGAGGGTCAGGGCCAGGTGGGGACCCGTCACTGGATTCTAAGCATACAGTCGCAGCCATGGACCCTGAAGGCAGGCCGTGCCAGGGGGCAGCCTTTCTACCAGGAGGGCCTCTGCGCCGCGGACAGTGGGGCAGCCTGGGGGCTGGTGCTCTTAGCGCAGGCCTGGCCCAGGCTGGCCCCTGACCTTATGAACCCCACCGCAACTGTTTCAGGCCGCGTCATTCTACTGCAGCAAGATGGGCTTTGAACCTCTGGCCTACAAGGGTCTGGAGACAGGGTCCCGGGAGGTGGTCAGCCACGTGATCAGGCAAGGGAAGGTGAGTCCCTGCCCCAGGCTACCCCTTGCGTCCATTTCTCCCCTCCTGGCAATCTCTGCTCTCCCTGTGCCCGCAGCCTGTGCAGCGCCTTCGAGGAAAGTAGTCCGGAGGCCCCTTGTTTCCTGAGCCAGGAGGCAGAGCCTGGTCCCGGGGGCATGGACTGAGCTCAGGCTCACCGCTGGTCCGCTGGGCACCCCATACAGCCACGCACCAGGGACCTTCGGAGTTCTGTCTCCCCCTCAGCTGGGCCCAGCTTTGGCCCAGAACACTCAGGAAGCCCAAGGCATTAGAGCAGAGGTTAAAGCAACGCCTGCCCGTGAATCCCAGGGCTTGCCCCAACAGGGAGGCCTGGCCCCGCAGCTCCCCTCAGAACCAGGGCAGCTCTGGCATCCCTCAGGACCAGGGGAGCTCAAGCAGAGAAGGGGCTGGAACCCCTGGCTCCAGGGTCCTGCATGGCTGGGTTCTCTGCTGCACCAGGGGTGACCCGGGGTGGGCAGGAAGGAGGGGAGGGGGCGTCTCCTCTCTTGCGCCTGGCCATCAGCCACCCCTTCTCGTCCTACCTTAGATTGTGTTTGTCCTCTCCTCGGCTCTGAACCCCTGGAACAAAGGTGAGCAGGGGCAGGGTGGGGTCCCAGCATGTGGGTGAGGCCAGGGACCTGGATGGAGCAGGAGGAGGGCCAGTCCAGAAGGAGACCGGGCCCAGAAGGCTGAAGCCAGGGGAGGGGGCCGTGGACCCCAGAGCCACCACCCCTCTGCCACCACAGAGATGGGCGACCACCTGGTGAAACACGGGGACGGAGTGAAGGACATCGCGTTCGAGGTGGAGGACTGCGACTACATCGTGCAGGTACAGGGCGCCTGGGCCGGCCGGGGAGAGGAAGCGGGAAGGCTGTCTGCCTTCCACCTGCCATGGGGACCCCTAGTCAGAGCCGGGGGACACCACAGCGTCAGTGACCAGCCCAGAGGTCGGCATGACACACGCCTGTGTCCCAGCAACGCTCTGGCCCTTACTGTGTCCCCCCGGGCCTTAGTGTCTGCATCTGTCAAACGGGAAGAGCCACAGCCCCAGCCTCGCTGAGTAGTTATAAAGAGGGGTGAGGTCGTCATTACCATTCCTTTTGTTTTGTTTTGTTTTTGAGAGGTTTTCACTGTCGGGTGCGCGTGCACTCACCAGACAGACAGAGAGAGACAGAGAGACAGAAAGCGAGAAATCACTCCCCAGGGGAATGGTCACACCGCAATCCCTTCTCCTCCATTCTCCTCTCGGGATCTTGGGCACGCACGCACACATGCCCGGCATGAGATTTAAGCCACCGGGTCCGGGACGCGAACAGCGGTCGACTATATGGGAGTTCAGTGACATAGCCATTGTGCTAACTGCTGGTCCCTACCATTCCTTGAGCTTAACTCTGAGCCAAACAGTTCGGAAGTTCAGAGCATGGACTTCAGGCCCAGACTGCCTGGGTGTCAATCTTGCTAGCTGTGTGACTTCAGGCAAGTGTCTTGGCTTCTCTGTGCTTCAGCGTCCTCACGGGTGGGATGGAGCCGGTTAGAGCGCCTGTGTACACCGCTGTGAGGGTCTCAGAGGTTAAGACCTAGGACAGCGCCCGCGTGACAAGGCAGACGTGCAATACGGGGGTTTGCTGGATAAACGCGAGTCAGACCAGCAAAGCACTCGGCCGAGACGGCCCTCGGCTGGTGCTTGGTATTCTCAGCCGCCCACTCACAATGGGCAGGAAACTGAGGCCTGGAGGCCTGGAGGGAGACGTGCAGAGTGAGTTAGCAGAGGCAGGGCAGACCCCACCCCAGCGGCCTGGCTCGCCCAGCCCCAACTCCGAGCCGTGCCTCGGTTTCCCGCTGTGGGGGACAACGACCAATGCTGTCTGGGGTTCCCGGCTGAGACCTGTGGCAGGGTGGTGCAGAAGAGAAGGCCACTGGCAGGCGCAGCAGGCGAGGGCCCTGGGAGGCTCCCGGCATCACGGACCCCCACGCCCTGTCCTCCGCAGAAAGCCCGGGAGCGCGGCGCCAAAATCGTGCGGGAGCCCTGGGTGGAGAAGGACAAGTTCGGGAAGGTGAAGTTCGCTGTGCTGCAGACGGTGAGTGGACTCGGAGACCGCCCCCTCCACTCCAGCGTGCCACCCACCACGTGCCCGGTGCAGAGATGGCACCAAGTCTGACCACCTGGAGCGCCGGGCCGGGTGCAGAGGCTGGGGGGTCTCCCAGTCACCACCAGCCGGGCCCTCCCCGTCCCCCCCAGCCGCGGGCCCACCTCCCCACTGCGGCGGGGACAACGGTTCTGGGCAGGGACTTTGAAGAAAGGAGATGGACGGCCGGGACCAGCAGATGGCATAATGGTTACGTGGTTGGACTCCCAGTCAACTACAGTTCAAGTCCCGGACCTGGCTCAAACTCACGCCAGGCACATGTGCATGTGTGCTCAAAACTCTGAGAGGAGAATGGAGAAGGGATTGCGGCGTGGCCACCCTGGTGGGTGATTTCTTGCTTTCTGTCTCTCTCTGTCCCTCCAGCAAGCACACATGTCCTATAGTAAAAATCACTCTTGAAGAAAGGCAGTGGGCAGAACCTGGGGAGGCCAGGCCCTCATGACCTGTGTGGTCTGGGGGCGGGTAGCTTTATCTCCCTGTGCCTGTTTACGTGTGCAAGGACTGGCCATCTGTGTGACCTGGGACATGCTCCTTACTCTCTATGTCTCTGTTTCTCCGACTCTAACCCCTCATCCGGTCATGGTAAAAACCACCGAGACCACCCGTGCACAAAGCCTGACACGCCAGACCTAGCAGGCTACCAAGTCTCTGCAGCGCCTGTACCATTCTGTTTCTCTTTTTATGTAACATAATCCATTTGTTATTATTATTATTTCATTTGACCTGAGACAGACAGAGA